ACGTACATATATATATATATACATGTGGGTATTTCTCTTGTGCTGACCCCGCCAGCAACAGCACAATCGGACGGAAGATATGGACGTGGCTATCTACAAAGGAGCTGAGGTGTAATGTAATGGCGGTTGTAGATTGCTTTCTGCGTCTCGAGGCTATCGTTCGGCTGATCGTCATGATGTTGTTCTCGGAAACCCGGCGCTGTTCGATACGGACGTTTAAAACTGATAATGCTGTGGGTTTTGAATTGCCGTTTGGTAATGCTTAGCGTTATTGCTGTCAGTGTCAGGGATGATGCACAACACCCACCGTGCTCCTTATGCGTGATTCTTCACAAAACATGTACCTTACACTGCAGTTGGCAGTTTCTTGATCAGTCCCGTCATTTCTAATTATTGTTGACTAGCACAGCAAGGGATGCTCAAAGACATCCAGGAATTCTGCTAGTTCAACCTTGGCTTGTTGACGACCAGCAGCATTGTAGACTTTTCCTAATTCACAATACGTCTTAATGGAGAGCCTAACTACCCATTATACGGTAACGAAATTCCGTCACCGGGTTGAACGGAGTTAGTACATCATATGTTCAGAACCATTTTCCTGATGATATATTTGCCCTCGGGCAGGCTCATGTACTCATGCGACGTGATTCCGTTCGCAAGTAAGGTGTCTGCATAATGCCAATTTCCCGTTTGTGCTGTAGAAGACTAGGTGTTAACCTTTGCTTGAGACGTTACAATATGAAGACCAGTTCCTTGACTGTTTTCGTCCGATTTATCGCGTACGGATAATATACTCTTTTTCTACGATTGAAGCTATTGGAAACTTTATGTTACACGACAAGTGCTTGTACGAGCTTGTGTTACGCACTTCGTAAGATAAACGTTTAAAGTGCTCAGAGTTGTTAAGGTATGTTGCCGTGTGTTTGCAGGGGGCAAGTTAAGCCACACCGGATCCGAAATGCGAATAGCCCTGAAACCTAGACCTAAATCCAAAACACCAAGCCCTGGAAGCTTCTTGCTGAAAGTCGCAAATCTTGGATCCAAAGGCACGACACCCTAGACTCCCAAATCCTCGCCACGCCGCACATTCCTCCAAAACCCCAAGATCTCTCCACCTGAACCTCCGACCGAAGCCCGAAACGAACGCGCCGAAGCGTGGTAGTGACGAAACTGGTAATAACAACCGTGAATCCTGTCATCACCCCATCAGCGACATTACCCATGCGTCTTCTGCTATCCTAATACCTAAGCCATTCACAGCAAAAATGCAAGATACATGATTGTTTAATCGTCCGCGGTTCATCAGCACAAACATAGGAATACAAAACTCGACATGAGGCCAACACATGCTGAATTATCTTTGGTTTTCAACAACAGTAACAACAGTAATCCTCTTTCAGCTGGTTCTAAAACGACAGTACCTGGTTTTCCCATCAGTCTATCAATCGTGTTTGTGCAAGCAGCTGGCAGATGGTGTGAATACTCAAAGGGTAACGGCTGGTCGGTTTGCTGGTTATCAGAATGTGAACGAACATGGGACTCAACACTCCCTCTCTCTCTCTCGCGGACTCAGAGGTCTGTCAGCCGGGCGGCCGTCTAACACTCCGTCCCTACATTGACTTTATCGTACTTGGTTGGCATTAAATTAAATGTTGTGAAAACCAATCGTGAACACTACACCGGTTACCCAGACTCAATCACAAGAGTAGTTTACCCAGAAAACTTTGGCTAAGAGGTAGCAAGTAAAACGGAAGTACAGAGCTCTGGCTCGTTGAATACGGTTGAAGTTTCAAGACTGTTGACAACTACCACAATCACAGAGACAATGATACACGATAAAAAACCCAACTACACTTGATACGATGAACTAGGCACAGAAGAACATATGAGCAGTTTATATGTGAGTTAAAGCGGCAGTTAAGATTGGATAGGTTTGTAGGGATATGACGACCATAACTCAAGACAGAATGCCGAGAGCGACGAAGACAATTGCAATAGTCGGTCACGGGTTGCGAAGAACTGGTACTGTTCCTGTTGATAACTGCTAATTTGACAGATACACCTGAAGATTAGTGTAAGGGTCAGGATTTCAAAATTTAAGCAAGCATACTCACAGCTACGTGATAAAACTGCTTTCCACTTAAATGGCTGCTGGAGCTTTAAATACAAGATGAGCAATGGTAAAAGACTGCAAAACATACCAACAATGTTGAAATCAGTCCGGGCAAAATATAAATAAACGTGTCTGTGTCTGTGCTATAAGAATTCAAGAATCAATAAGAACAGCTAACTGGGCTCCCTTTCTTCAGGGCCCTGGTGGTTCCGTGTCGAATGAAGCCTAAGCTGTTGAAAAACAACTTTTTGGCGAACCCCTGAAACTACGTACTGTTTCGAGAAACTCGTGGTTTTTACTGTTGGTGAATGGTTTTAATGCATCTTCGCTAAAAAGCATGAAAACTTGTGACGGCACAAACAAGCCAGTGCGATACGTTGTGGGAAGGAGCACAAACCAATCAGTAAATACATTCTTATATATTGGCGACAGTCCCGAGCTCGTGGCAGCGCGCCTTTTCCCAGAAACATCAAACATCCTTTCGCACTATGCTGTGACAAGAAGCAAGAATGCCGTACTTTGCAGTGTTGTAGGCATGTTCACAAAAGGCAGAGCGCTTTTAACAGGGTGTCGTGTTTCAAAGATGTCTCAAACATCCTGTTTGCATTATGCTGTGCAAATGGCAACAACGCTGAAAATACCGTGGTTTTGGCATGCTCGCAGAAAGCATGAGCGCTTGCGACAGCACACATGTTTCCAGAAACGCCAAACATGCTTTTGCATTATGCTGTGCAAAGAAGCAAGAACTTTCCAGTGTTTTCGGCATGTTCAAAAAAGGCATGAACACTTGTGACAGGGTGTCTTCTTCCAGAAACGTCAAACATTATGTTTGCATTATGTTGTGCAAATGGCAACAACACTGTAAATCCCAGTGTTCTTGGGCATGGTCGCCGTAGCAAAGGACTTACGCGACCCGCGGAACAACCCGAAACAAGCAGATTAACACCAGGGTCCTGGGGCTCGCGTAACCAACTAGACATAGCCACTACTCACCTTGACATGAAATCTGTGTGCCTTTAAACAAAGCTCAGAACTAAACTATTTCAGCTACACGGGTGAGCACATGCAAGCAGTTTTAACTGAGGATTGAATTTGGTACGAAACATCATATTGCACACAGCTACTGGTACGCACATAATTAATCATTCAAGAATATTTGCCGAAAGAAACTGTGGAGAACAAACATGTGAACCTGTAGTTTTATGAACCTCAAAAAAAACTGTGCAGATGCTTTGGTATTTTTCCTACCCGAAGAATGGGGTTTAGGGTTTTGATATGGGGATTTCGGACAGAGCACAGGCCACGTGCAACACCAAAGATGAAGGATGAGACAAAGCACAAAACAGCTCCAAGGACAATGCCTACGTGTTTTGGTAGTTCAGTGTTCCGTTTTTGGTCTTACTGGGTTTTCGTATAGAGTGCCAAATTTCCATGCACATATATACATGTATATATATACACATAAGTGAATACATAAGTGGATTAATGTAAACTATGCACATACACACATAAATATACATGCATCTGTATTACACTACATATACTGTACGTACATATATATATATATGTATGTATGTATGTATGTATGTATGTATATATATATATATACGCACACATATCACTTGCAATGCCTAGCTGGGCCTAGCTGGTGCCGAGGCGGCTGTTTGTGACTTAGCAGCAAATCAACAACAAGGCATCAACTTCCAAAAGGCCGGTCGAGGCTTTGAGGTACTTTTTTTTTTGCCAATACGACATCGTCAGTAGTCAGCATCCATCGGCTGCTGATGGGGTGCGGAGATCACAATGAATGTGCACTTTTGTAAAATGACCTGTCGCTCTTTCAGCAGGACATGTTTGATTGCAAATAAGCAGCAGGCCAACCCATCCACGCGTGCACATGCACATGCACTGTCTCTCTCTCTCTCTCTCTCTCTCTCTGTCTCTCTCTCTCTCTCTCTCGCGCGCACACACACACAAACAAGTACCCATACACACATATGGATATACTCCCATGCCAACAAGCAAACAAACAAGGAAGCAAACGAACAAGACACACAACCAACCACACACACATGCACACAAGCACATAAACATATATATATATATATGGTACCCCCCCCCATGTGCCTACCTTCCTCTCTCATTTAACTCGACTTGGACCTCAACCAGCCTCCTGGGGTCCAGGGTCTGGGGTTCTCGGAGCTTCATGAGCATCTAGCTTTATGGCATCAGGAGCATCTTTGTATGCCGTCATGAGCATCGTACGCGTGTACAGTCTTTCGTCCT